CTCGGTAAGATTCTCTTGGCCTCCTTTCTTGATGAATTTCTTTAGGGCTCCTCCTTGGATCAGGCACCCTATCTCCTTCTTTAACTATCCGTAATGTTCGGTGTCATGGCCAACGTCTTTATAGAATTTGTAGTATTTGCTTCTATCCCTTTATCCTACGAACTCTTCTCTCAACTTCCTTGGGTAGTTGAAGTGATTTCCTCCTAGTTATCCTTCAACCATCGTAGGATGTATATCCAACTCTCGTACAAGGGGCTGAAATTGATTTCTCTCGCTATTAAGGCGTTAGTGAGCGAGTAAGGCGACCGTATGGAGAAGCTCGGTCGACTTCTGCTCTGTCGTTACTCGTTTGGGAGAAAATTCTCTACGTTTGTTCGATCTTCTTTTAGATTCGTTGTCTCTGTTCTGTGCTTATTCGGCCTTCCAAGCTTCGTCTAGCCGAGCAAAGTTATTGGCTCGGGACATCAATTTTGCAAAAGAGTAAGGCCTATCAATGTTAAGCGAATTAAAGAGGTTGTTATATTTATAGTTTTTAGCCATTGCACTGATGGCAACTTTAGTGTTAAGATCCTTTGTCTGCATGATGAGCTTTTAGAATTTTACAATGTAATCTCGAAAAGATTCATCGTCTGCCCTCTTTAAGTCTATAAAATCCGATGATATCTTCTTGCTTGGTATGCACGTCATGAACCGGGCCTAGAATGAGGGTGCCAGCTAAGCAAAACTATCTATGGATATAGTCTTGAGCATTTGGAACCATTCTTGTGTTGGTCCCTTTAATGTGTTATGGGGAATGCCCAGCGCAATTATGTGTCCACCATCATTTCGATGTGCATCACATTGCAAAAGTTCACCAAATGACTTCGAGGGTCAGTAGTCCTATCATATGTCTCAAAAGTAAACATCCTAAACTTTTGTGGGAAGTGTACTGACATGACTTCTGGGGTTAATGGTGAATCATTCTTCAATTTGAAGTTAGTGTTATCTCCTGCCTCTCAGAAGTCTTTCAAGATTTGTAGACTCTTTGCTTGGAACTCCTCCTCATCCTTATGGCATATATTCCTGAGCAAGGGAGTGGATTCAACATGGGTTTGCGTTTTGTTCTGGGTGTCTGTGTGCCAAGATGAGTCTTCATCTCCTATCTCATCTCCTATAGTCTTATTTGCCGTATCACCATCATCTCCCATCTCATCTCCTACAATCTTATTTGACATATCAGTCTTATTTCCATTGTTTCGTGGGGATGCTAGGATGCTAAAACAGGGTGAGAAAGGCGAATGAACATTCCAAAGATATTATCATTTTGTTCGATCCACGCTCACTGCACCAATTTGATAGTCTCGAAAATATGATGACTTTAAAGAGTGATAATACCTTTGTTATATTCGATAATCTAAATTGCCATAAACCCTTTTTTAGGAGATGAGTTTATCCTTATATATGAGTTATTGATGCAAGGTTGGTTATGTAAATGATGGGAGAGAGATATCAGACATTATCTCCTAATATCAAGCCCATATCTTCCTTCTGTTATTTGAGTTGTTATATGACCCTTAGACCTCACTAACGTTGGTGTTTATCACTACCATGCAAAACTACAAGGTTATTTATTGATCAAATTAAATTGAATTAATTTAGTTTGGTTTTAAATTTTTAATTTTGAGTTATTTTTCAGGTTAATCAATTTGGTTTTTAAGATTTTTAAAATATTGAATTGAAATGATTTTTTTCTCTTAAAAACCAAAACCAAACCCAATCTTTTTTAAGATTACATTAAATTGAATTAAACTAATTGGTACGACTAAATGTGGTCGATTTTACTGGTTAATGTCAATCCTAATATAGTGTGTAAAATGGATTTAACATTTATTACTATGTTCTTTTCAATCCTATTGTAATTGGAGGAGGTTATTGATTTTCCAGTTGCACTCCAGAATAACATTCAATACCAATGTTTTATTATTCATAACTATACTTCTTAATTTTTGTAGTTAATAAAAAGTATAAAATGCAAATGATTTAGTTAAATCAAATTGATCGAGTTCAATAAGGATCCAATCACAAAACTAATTTGATATCCAGTCTAATTGTAAAACATTCTTGAATACTTAATAGTTAAGTTGAATGTGTCTTTCCTGATTTATTCTGAAATAGTAAGGTGAAATATCTTAATGCATGAGCTTCATCCAGGGTGTGCAAAACTACATATTGAGCCCAACTGAAAACTGAATTGATCTATTTCAATTCGGTTCGATAAGGTGTTTAAAAGAGGTTCAATTAATTGATTTGCTCCATTTAAATCAAATTTAATATTTAGTTCGAATCGATTTGGTAGAAATTTATCGATTTGATTTAAATACTGATTTCGATTCCATTCGCTTTGTTCTAAAATATTCGGTTTATATTTTATGCCACCCAACCGACGGCTTGCTGATCCCGCTTTCATATGCAGTTTAAAAAAACATGCACTGTCGGCTCGAGAAACAAAGCGGTTATGAAAAGAAAGGGAGAATTTGCAAGGCAAGGTCTTTTTTTAAGAAGGCAGAGTCATATTTTTATTCCATTCTATGAACATAAAGTTATTTTAAAATAAGATCATTTTATTAAAAAATAGGTGTGCACGCAACTATATTGCATTCCACCTCACAGATTGAAACCGTTTCATTTTAAAATAAGATCATTTTCTTCACTCCCAGTAGTCAGTCACACCGTTCATTTGTTTTCTATCTCAGAGATTCCCAGCAGCTGTAATTTTTCTCATTTTCTTGCGTTTCTTTCATTTTGTTCAGATATGGCCGTAATCACTAGGGCTGTAAGAGAGAAAGTGAAGCTGAAGCTCCAAGGTACACAATTTTTCCTTCTGTTTTTATGGCTTCTCGTTAACTATTCATTCTCTGTTTGTTCTATAGATTCTATCTTTTCTAACAATATTCCTCAATCTATTCTCATCACATTTCTTTTGATTAAAATTCCATAGATACACACTATAGGAATTGGTAGCAAAAGTTATATAGCAAAAACTATATTTGCTCCTGAAAGCTTACATAATTAAGGCAACAAGAAGGAAATTTTCTGCTTATAGGAATGGGGATTCAGTTGGTTCAGCTCAAATCGAACCAGATCAGTAAATCAAACTTTTATAAAAGGAAAACTGAATTAAACCAAAAACTGAATCATATCAAGTTCAATCTGATTTTTTGGTTTTGACTTAATGTTTATGTTTTTTTAGGTATTTCAATATTATATATTGAACCGAACCCAAAAAATTTTCTAGTCTTTTCATATAAAAAGCAAAATTCAGCCAAATAATTTTACGATCTAATCAAACTGAATCGGTCAATTAGGTTCAACTTTCAATTGACCCAAATTATATACAGTCCTATATTTGCTCATAGGCAAAGGTATAACAGCAACTAGAGTTGCTGCCAAAAGGATAATATACAGTAGTAGGACTATTCAAATCGGGTTATATTAGAACCCGATTTGTTCATATAACCCACTTTTAACAATTCCATATAGAAGCAACACTTCAAAGTTGTTGATTTTCCTAGCGCTAAGAATATGGTAACAACAAAAATTTTTAAAATTTTAGGAATCAATATTAATTTCTCTTTAAAATTAATCAAATTTTCTACTTGTTTGAATAATAAGATTTAATTTTAAAAACATTGGAACACTAAGATTAATTCCTTCAAATTGTTCAAACTTTGTAAGTTCATATCTTAGTGGTAAATTCATCTTCTCATCTTGAGCACATAGTCTTCCTGTCTATATATGTAGCAGCTTCTGGAGTAAAATCTGATTTTAGACCAATAGTTGGAATTTTATAATTTTTTCCTTTTATGAATTCTTTAGTCTTCCTGTCTATATATGTAGCAGCTTCTGGAGTAAAATCTGATTTTAGACCAATAGTTGGAATTTTATAATTTTTTCCTTTTATGAATTCTTAATCTTTTTAAATTATAAATACACCTGTTCATGGTTATCCTTAACTTGACCTATTTAAACAGATGAGACTTCACCTCACAAAATGCGCCAAAGAAATTAATAAACCTTCAACTGTACCTGAGGACTAAATTTATTGTACATTAAATGGTTTTACTTTGCCTAAGTTGCCACCTCCCGTAGTTATAATTGCATCCTCTTCTGAGTTCTGTCAATACTTTATCTTTTCTTCACCACCTCACTACATACCCTATCAAACACCATCCTAAGTTCATATCTCTGATATTTTGCAGTTAATCAATAATAAGCAAATCAAGACTAGGCTGTCCTGTTCGCTACTTGGCTTTCCTCTGCTTACTCCTTTGGAGGGCTTTCCTCTGCTTACTCCTTTGGAGCTCATCCTTGTTGGAACCTGTTGTGGCTGGGCCTAGTAAGAGCAGCTAATTTTTTTGTTTTTTTGTTCAATTCCGAGCTTTTATTTATTACTTTGGTAGTCTTATGAGCTTTAGTATTTTTATTTTTTGCTTATAATTATATGTACATATTACTGGATTAATTGATTGTTTATCATAAATAGCACTCTATAGGCTTATTTAGTAATAGTATTTGGGGCAGTATGACATGCCTATATAAGTATAAAAAACAAAAATCTTTTTTTTTTTTTTAATTTTGATTTTTTTTGTTATAGAAAGCTTAAAAGGAAGGTAAGATTTATAGAGAAATTAGTCAAGAGTAGTACAAGTCTCTTTCACGTTATTCCATTAATTTAATAGTGGCCTTAGCAAATGGGATTGTGGAAATAAAGGCTATCTTAGTAGTAATTTAATTCTATCTTGTCTTATAAAACAACATTTTATTCCACATAATGAAACCTTTGTTTCCTGTTCTTTTTTTTCTGTCATTTTTGAATATGATTTTTTGTTTTTATTTTTAATTAAACAAAGTGCACTAACCCATAAGGAGTGGCTCAATCAGTAAGGCATGCAACTCCTACAGCGTCATCATATTTTTGTATAAGACTTTGATTGTAGTAGTTGATTAAAAAAACTTCAGTTAATCAATAATAAGCAAATCAAGACTAGGCTGTCCTGTTCGCTACTTGGCTTTCCTCTGCTTACTCCTTTGGAGCTCATCCTTGTTGGAACCTGTTATGGCTATATAACTATATAAGTGCAGCTGCAGATTTATAGCTTTGTGGTAAATGCATCTCTCAAGTTGAGTATAGAGTCTCCTCATATGTTCATCTCGTATATGTGGATTAAACTTGATGAAGAAGGCTGTGATTGTTGGGCCATTCGGAGGTGAGTCTGAGAATTCATGGGACCATGGAGTCCACACCACTGTTAGACAAATGTTCTTACATTGTGGAATGGTTGTCGACTACATAGCAGTAGAGTATGATGAAAATGGAAGCTCCAAATGGTCTGATGGAAAAGTTTACATTGGTGGAAACCCTAATAAAGACTTTCAGGTTAGTTCATTTTTATTCAAGCCATGTTTTTGGAAGCTCCAAATGGTCTGATGGAAAAGTTTACATTGGTGGAAACCCTATTTAATTGCATTTACCTTTAAATTCTTTTGTTTTGGATGAAAAAGAAAGGGCATGACTCTTAGCAAACAAGATAAACAAACTTTGGTATAAACCATTTTTTTAAAATTTAGAATCCATTTGATGTATGAATTTTTCATGTTTGTTGTAATGAATTTGAAATTTGAAATTTGAAATTTGAATCTAATTGAATTCCATGTCATTTATGTATGATATATATTTAAGATTAATTCTACATGTCAGAGCAAATTTTATTATTTGACAAAACTACCCACAAAATTTAAAAATTTAAAATTCAATCAAACTCCACAAAATTTTATAGAATTTATTTCTATTCCAATCCCAATATAAGATAAAATAATTCTAGATATAGATTTGCTCCCTTCTTACTATAAGCGTATTTTGAGGTTAATTTTTTTTGTTCCACTATAATTATTATTTTAGACTATCAAGGAAGTACTAATTAATTTGTTTTCAATTTTATACTTGTCCTTTTTGTTATTTTAGACTATCAAGGAAGTACTAATTAATTTGTTTTCAATTTTATACTTGTCCTTTTTGTATCTCCACTATGTATGCATTAATTAGTTAGAAATTGATAAAGGGTAATTTAGTTAATTATAAATATTTTTTTGCTAAAATATTGATACTTTTCAATACTCTTTAATTGGTGGGCAAAAACCTCAAATGATACATGCAATGAAATGAAGATAGTAATTTTTTACCTTTTTTAGCATTACTCATTGGCATTCAGACCTAGATTTATTCTAAGGTTATATATGTATTTATTATTACACTATATCTGCATATGCTTTGACATCTCTATCAATCATATTTTGACATCAAACCAAAATTAAAATAAAGGACTATTGCTATATTATTCTTTCAAATATCAAAATTTCAAATTATCCCTTGAACTTGGAAGCTCAATTTTAGAAATAAAGTTTAGTGTAAGTAAAAAATTGGGCTTTTTGTTCTTTGTTGCAAGTTTAGGGGGTCAATTGTATAAAAAGTGAAATTTTGGTCAAATTGAATATTGCTTCAAAGTTTAGGGGGTATTGCTTCAAAGTTTAGGGGGAAAATTGTATAAGAAGTTGAATTTTGGTCAAAAATTGAATTTTGCTTCCAAGTTTAGGGAGGAAATTAAGTTTTATTTCTTAATTTTATATCTTGGTTCAATCATGTCATCAATGATGGTTTACTAAATTTGTTAGGCTAAAGAGAGCTTTTCTTGATTATAATTTGACATGCTAAATTATAAAATCAATGAATCAAATTTCACCTTTGCACATTCCAATTAATAATTAACAATAAGATCACAATTTTATTTTTATTTTTGACATATGGTAAAACTAGGACTAAAAACTAGACTAAAAATTTTAATAAAAAACTAAACAAAAGTAAACAACTTAAAGGTGAAATTGTTAGTCGGCAACAAAAATTATCGAGGAGAGACTTGAGAGTGAAATACTTGCAGAAATAATTAGAGACTTTTTGTTTGCTGAAAAAATGGAAGCTTATTTTATAAAGAGACACTGTTATTTTTCTGTTAATTAAGAAAACGGGTTTGGGAAAAAATTTTTATTATAGAGAAACTGTTGATTTTAATTAAGAACGGGTTTGGGAAAATTTTATTATATATTTGTTGTGTTTCAATGAGACCTTATACAACCTATTTATACACAGGTATCAAATTCTAAAATAGGAAAAGAATAAATAAGGAAAGAGCAATATATACTCCTAAATAGCCTAAATGGACTCATTGGAAGCTTGGAATGAAAATCTTTTTCTCATTTTTTTAATTCAATTTTGTCATTAATTATTAAAATAATGCAATTTAGTTAATATGTGATGCAAAAAATTACAGATCAAACTGGACTATCCGAATGAGTATTTGACATCAATCTCAGGTTACTACAATGTATTTACGGGTCGTATTTATATCTGTTCAATGGTTGTAAAAAGCAATAGAAGAGTGTTTGGTCCATTTGGTACTAAAGAAGAAGGCAACTATTTTTTGGTTCCATCTAATATAGGCAAAATTGTTGGGTTCTTTGGGAGCTATGATCCTTATCTTACTTCAGTTGGAGCGTATGTGGAACCAACTGACCATTTTAAATCTTTTGGTCCATTTGGAGGCAATGGTGGAGCTTATTGGGATGACGGGACATACACTACTATAAGGAGAATAACTGTGGTTTCTGAATCAGTAATCAACTCCATTCATATAGAATACGACGACAATGGGACCTTGGTATCATCTACTAAGCATGGAGGAAAGCATGGAGGAGGTGGAGGCACCACCAATGTGGTTAGTCTGTCTTATTCTTTGATGCATCTAGAATATTGCATAGTTTTTTAAGGTATGATAATCATTGCCTTTTGTGCCTTTCTATCAAGTTAAAATGTTTAAAGGGTATGATACATGTAATACTATCAAGTTAAAATGTTTAAAGGGTATGATACATGTAATAGCGTTGAAACAGGCCAAGTTGAACTCTGTTGAGCTTAAGCTTGATTTTGAGTTTGAAAAACTGAGATACAGCTCTAATCTTTTACAAGTTTATAGTTTTTTTAAAAAGCAAACTTCTGCTTTTATGGGTTCAACTTGAGCTCAGGCTCGACTTATATATTTTACAAATTTGATAAGTAGACTCAGCTCAGTTTGGACAGAGTATCAAATTTTTTTTTTTTCCAAACTGAGCCTCGAGTAGTTTACGGTTGGCTTCGTTTATTAATGCCCAAACATGTAGAGTATATTGCATGTGTTCTTTTCATTAAGACTAAAACCTTTTCGTTGTGTTTTTCTAGAGATTATTTTCATAGCTCAAACTCATTATCATGCCAATTCTTAAATAATGATTCATTTTTGTAGGTTGATCTATTTGTAGGTTGATCAGATTATCCAGATGAATATGTGACGTTTCAATTCAGGACTATCATGCTTTAGGAATCTTTCTTCCCGCTGTGGTTTCAATCATTACAATTAAAACTAATTTAGGAAACAGTTTACGGCACCTGTTGGATGTAGAAAAAGGAAAGGGGAATTTTCTTCCCACAAACTGGAGGTAAGATCATTGGGTTTCATGGGAGGTGTGGTTGATCATCTACAATTCAAATTTGGTGGACATTTGGAGGCCCTACCTCAAGTCTATATGCTGTAAAAAACTATTGTGCTCATGGGAGGTGTGGTGATCATCTAAATTCAATTGGTGGACATTTGGAGCCTACCTCAAGTCTATATGCTGTAAAAACTATTGGTCCATTTGGTGAAGGGAATGGATATTTATGGGATGATGAGGTTCATTCGGCAATAAAGCAAATAAGAACTACACATGGAGCTTTTGTGAGTTCCATTTGTACTGAATATTATAACGATGATGGTTTATCAGAGTGGTCTGAGAAGCATGGTGAAGACCTTGAACCCAAAATGAGCACGGTTAGTATTCTAAAATTATTTCTATTAGTTTAATTCAATTCCTATGCTAACATGAAATATCAAGTGAAAAAAACAATTATTTCTTGTTGGATAGCTATTTTTGAATTTAATTTACAATTTTAAGTAATAATTTTGCAAAATATGCATTTAGGTAAAATTTTAAAGGGAAAGTATAGAACAATATGACGTTGTTTGCTTCTTTTGTGTTTAAAGGGTTGTGATTTAAGTCATTAATATTTTGGGTAGCAAAATTCTTGCATAATAAATATAAGCATAATCCAATAAAGGTATTGGTTGCAGTGAGATTATCAGTTACTTTTCACTAGGGTAAAAAGAGGAGCAAATTAGTAAATAATTTATGATAGTTTTTCCAAATTATAACTATCTATTTGGTTGTAGACAAGCAATTTCCATCCAATGTATATAATGGACAAATCTAATAACCATAATTGACATGAATAAGGATACGTATGTCCTTTTAAAGAATACAATCTTTAAAACATGTGATGGTTCTTCTTCTTATGCTTTTTTTTTTTTTTTCAATGTTGTCAATTTTAAATTTTACATAATTTTCTATACCCATAAAATCACTATTCCATTCATGTATTCTATATTATTTTGTGAATCATATATTGGCAAAGTTCGCTAAATTTGCATTTATAATTCTTTTGTTGTAGATTAAGCTTGATTATCCAGATGAGTTTCTAACTTCAGTTACGGGTTACTATGACTCTATCAATGAAATGAATGACTACACAATGAAGACTGAATGACTTACACTTTCACATCACTCACATTCCAGGCGAATAGAATAGCTTATGGTCCATTTTTGGTCCGAGAAATTTGGTAAGCGTTTTTTCTTTTCCATTCATTTGATGGAAAGATTTTAGGGTTCCATGAAGAAAAGCGCGGCTATTCTCTATTGCACTTGGGGCACACATTCACCCCTATCTCTGACCAACACCATCTAAATCTTTTGGGGCCATTTGGAGGTAAGAGATGGTGATCAATGGATCAATGGGATGATGGATTTTATACTACAATCAGGCAATTGGTAATTTCTAGTGGATCCATTGTCAACTCTATTTGCATTGAGTATGATAAGAATGGTCAATCTATATGGTCATCAAAGCATGGACAAAGTGTTGGAGACAAGACATACACGGTTAGTTTAATTTTCTAATTCATTGGATTACTTAAAATATTACATAGTGCATTCCAAATTGGTTTGATTTAATTAAGCAAATCATTTAGGTCCAAACTTGCACCCTCAAAATTAACTAACATCCATGGATTGCACGAATGAATAGGGGTGAAGCATCTTGTACCAATGGAAAAATGGTTAAGGCTCTATTTGACAATAGCTTTTAAGGGAGCTTTTAGTGTTTTGAATAGGGTCAAAACACTATTTTTGTTATTTATGGTGTTTGGTATTTTTGTTATTTATGGTGTTTGGTACTGTAATATTGATATTAGTGTTTAGAGGTTGAGTGAGTGGATTATAAAACATTACTTCCTTTAACACTTGATGAAATGTTTTGATGAATTGCTAGTAAAACAACTCAAAACTACTAAAACAGCTAACAGTTACTAAATCAAATAATTTTGACAAACAGAGCTTAAGTCTTGTTCATTTTGGGTTCAAACAGATTAACAATCCTAGTTTGATAAGAGAATATGTATAGCTATTTTAATTGAGGGTGTTACACTTAAACGCATGTCAAGGATTTTGATATATTTATGGTAGATTGGAATATATTTTATAAGCATTACTTAGAAGTAAATATGATAGTGCTAATTGATTTTTTTCAATATGATGGGTAAATTATATCAGTAGTCATTTAATTTTGTGTTTAGTTTCATTAAGGTCACATAATTTCAATGTCATTTTTTTAGTCACTCAACGTTAATTTTTGTTTCAACGAGAGGTCACCTACTGGAAACTAATAATTGGAATAGTAATATGACACTAAAATAACATATTTCACAAAAGAAAGTTCATGATTAAGAAACATAAAAAATAGAAGAAAACAAAATGTTGCAAATACACCATTTTTTTTCAGAAGAATTCGCCATGATATATCTGATCCGTGCATAATATCATGAAAAGTGGATACAAATTTTTGACTGCTACTTAGTATCGGTAATAAGTCCAAAAAGGTATCTACAAATATCAAATTTAGATATTTGTTGAAATTTTTTTAAAATTGTTTCATGAAGATGGCATTATTTGTTAAATAAGTTAATAAATAAATTTTAAATTAAGGTATTAGAGAAAATATGATTTTTTTTAAATTAAGGTATTAGAGAAAATATGATTTTTTAAAATGAAATATTTTATTTTTAGTGCTATGTTAGTATTTTTGATGATTGGATTCGGGTGAGTCGCCTCCCGTTGAAATAGAAATCAAGTTTTAGTGACTAAAAAATGACATTAATATTATGTTACGTTATAAAATTAAGTGCAAAGTTAGATGATCATTAGTATAATTTACTCGGAGTATGATACAAGTTTAAATTTTGGAAAATAACAAATTGGTCATTGAGTTATAGTTAGATTAACACATGAGGACCTCTATTTTCAAAAAATAACTTTGAAATCCCTAACTTATGGTTTCATTAACATGTTAGTTCTTCCGTCCAAAATAGCCTCTTTTAATTGGCAATTGACAAAGAAATTGGTCTCTGAATTATAGTCCAACTAAAAATAAGGTCCCTAGTTGAGTTGAAGAACAGATTTGGGAAAATATTGTTTCTATATTTCTTGTGTTTTCAATGTGATTCATAAATCCTATTTATACACAATTATCAAACTCTAAATAGGAAAAACTAATCTAATTCTAAATAGGATAAAACAAATAAGCAAGAATGATTTTCTCCTAAATAGTCAATATACAAGTCAACACTCCCCCCCCCCCCCCCCCTCCTATATACACGTCAATTATCAAACTACTAAATAGGAAAAACTAATACAATTCTAAATACTGAGATACAAACAAACTATGAGCAAGAATGACTTCACTCCTTAAATAGTCAATATAACCAATGTCAACACTCCTCCCCCCCCCCTCCATAGTGGTTTAGTATGCCATAATGCACATGTGCCAACTCTGGCAAAACCACTTTTATGGAATTATTAACAGCTTATTAAGCCTCTTCAGCCTAACGAGCTCAGGAATAAATTGTTTATATTTATGAGCATAACACAGCAGCTGATAACGCTATCAAAAACACGATGCATGAACATTTCTTTTTATTGATAATTTGTCTTTCATATCCTTCTATTGTGCTTAATAAATTACTTTCTGGGCGGGTTTAATGCTTAATCGCTCGTATCATGCTTGACTTGATATAGTGCTAGGAAATTACTAAGTTGCGGAGGCAGCCCTTGTTATTCACAAAACAGCAGCTGATCTTCTCCTTCCAACATTCACAATTCTTTGCCATTATTCTCTCCTGCCATAAACAATTCTGCAAACTCCTTATGGCATACTTCGTCTTCTGCACTTGACGTGCTCACCACCAAATAGCTGCTTGTTTACTTCTCAGTAGTCAAGCAAGCGGGCCCGTTGGTATCTTTGATAAAGAATTTTGCACCAACCATTGCAGAAAGAGCTACAGAGGCTGTTTCTTTCGGATCGAACACTGTCTACTTTTGAATCGAATAAGAGTATTTTGAGAATTATTACCAGGCTATAATGATTGTACTTTTATGGCTGAGGTGAAATAGAATACTCTATCAAACATAACAGATGATGCTTAGTATAATTCGCTGTAATACTATGCATCCCACTACTTAACTTTGACCCTATGTGTGCCAACCGGTAGACTTTGGTGTAGAACATGGTTTGATGTGCAGTTTAAGCAAGGTATGTAGTCTTGAACTATTTTGTTTAATACTACTTCAATTAAAAGCTTGTATTTTAACTCATACTGACTATCGTATACCCTGAATATAATTCTGAGGCGCGACATTAACTCAAATCATATTGGCTAGACCCCCCTCGACCGGCCCAATTTCAACGATTGATTCCTTGATTGTTCTCAAGCTTTCACAATAATCACATACTTAAATGGTCTTATTGGATTGAGATTTGGGGATAGTTTAAAGGTTGAGAAGCAAGAAGTAGGATTTTTTCAATGCAAGTAGTAGTTATTCATGGACACATTCTCCAGCTTTCTTCCTAATTGAACATAAGAAATGGTCTACTGCAGTGAATTTGCATAAGATCTTCCTTTAGGAATTTCGAATCATGTATTGGATCATATTCAGTATATCATATTCAGTATTCAAACCTGTAAGAAACTCATATATGCATCCCTTTTCAACTTTCCTTTGATATCCTACCACATCAGCCTCATATTTGGGATGGTAATCCTTATAGTAATCAAGTTTCTGCCACAAACGAGTCATTCAGCATAATATTGATTAATGGTCATCTCACCTTGCTTTGTTCCTTGAACTTTATTCCGAACTTCATACACTTGTGAGTCATTCCCATGTTGAGAATAAGTTTGGGAAACAGTTGGCTAGATTTTTGCTGCAGCGTCCAACATCCAATAGCCACTAGAGATCTAAGGTTGCACGGAATTAATAAGCTAAGATATCACCAAGGAATTTTTAGAATCCCACTTGTCATAGGTTGGACTAGTTATTTCAGGCTTTGCTTTAGTTCTAGTAACGTATCCCTGTAGTCCCCAAGCTTTAATAAATAACAAACATGACCTTGACCAAGCAAGGTAATTAGTACCATCAAGCCTAACTGGACTAATTAAGCCTAACTGGACTAATTTGAAAAGAAGGATTGTCCAAAGAAGCACCCAACTTTGTTTCAATATTTCAATTTTTTCAACAAGTTTAGTCCCATCAACCATGATTGAATAATTGTTGAAAGAAAAACTAGTTGTTGGCAGAGAGACAGTAGCACGAATAAATACCAAGACATAGATGCGCAGAGAAACAAGTCATGAATAAGGCTGGGATGAAGTCGCCGGAGCAGGACGAGTCTGCCGGAGTAAGCCCGGTTGAGATAGGCTGCCGGAAAGTGACTCGCTTCGACGCGTGGTAGAGATGCTGAATCTATAATTGGCACATGAACCCATAAAGTAGTGCTAATTTCTCCCTTTTTAGAATGGGTATTGGCTAACTATTTACTTTCGGGTAAGATTAAGAACATCTATTAGAAGGGCAGCTGATATGCGACTAAGAGAAAGAGGGAAAGAGTTTAGGACCTTAATTATCCGAGTAAAATTAGAGTTTCTTGGACGGTCATTGGACTTTAGGGAATGGGTTGCCAGCAGCTGGTCTTCCTTCCTGGGGTGGCAATGTACTTCTACTCCACCCTGGCAGCTGGTCTTCCTTCCAGGGGTGCGATGAGTAATTACTTTCTACTTCCACCCTGAAAAAAACCCCTGATAGGTTAATTATCAATCCCTGCGCTTGAGAGCTCTGTTTACACAATTTTTTCGGTCCTGCTCTGGACACCAAGCGGAGTTTAGGAACAGATTGGAAAATATTGTTTTCTGTATTTGTATTTTCAATGTGATTAATAAATGTGATTAATACATCCTATTTATACACGATCATCAAACTCTAATTAGGAAAAACTAATCTAATTTTAAATAGGAAAAAACAAATGAGGCAAGAATGATTTTCTCCTAAATAGTCTATATGCACGTCAACATCCCTATTTTTTAATGCCATTAATACTTTGGTCCTCCTTTTATGATTTCCGTAACAGTTTGGTGTCTCTGTTTTGGATGGAAAGATCAA